TTCAAACTGCTGTCTTCGGTGATTTGTCCATTCTTTCCCATTTTGAACTGATGAATATTTTAATTGTCATTCAGCTCTTTAATAATTCAATCAATTAAATATCCACTAGAGTGTAGAGTAGCTGCGTCGATAATGTGTCACAGAAATTGTGTGTAGACCTTTTTATCACACAACCTAATTGACTTAACAGATATAATTCATATTTCAACCTTCAAATAAAAATCTTTTAGTAATTAAATTACTCACACCTGCGAAGTAACTCGATCATAACTCATTGCAGCCAAAACAAATGTTACTTTCTCACTGTGACACACTATTGACAACAAATTGAACATTATTTTTTGTCTGTATTAAACCCAATAAAGTTGATGATCTATTCCTAACTCGGAAGTTTTCTCTTACTGTTTTAGATTTCTGTGAAGTTCCACCTGCACCAAACAACGGATCTTCGAGCTGTGATCAAAACAACGCCTGCTCAATATCATGCAATCAAGGTTTCCAATCATCTGTATCGCTTGCAGACTCCTACCAATGTGATGCAAATACAAATACATGGACCCCTCCATTACCCACTGTTGAATGCATAGGTAAGTTCAAGTGGGGAAACACTCTTCACAGAATAGAAAACAATTATTATAATCATAATTATCACTTAAATTTCAATACTCCTGCTATATAATGGTAGACAAGGAGTGATCAACCTATCAAAAGGAACATATCGAAAAAGACTTCAGAATCAAAGTAATTCAGTAGTTAAAATAGCCATACACTGCAAAAGTTAGACTGTCAAAATGTTTCTTTGGCCTATAATGTTATTTTTTTTCAACTGAAATGATTTTAATGCCATAACGCATTTGCAAAATGCTGAATCACTTTTTTGGTACTTATAATAAAAGTATGAGTTTCTTTATAGCAAAGATTTGAGAGTTGAGATGGGTAGAATATAACACTTGGGATACCACTATATCCTTTGATTATTCTGTATTTGTATTATGTTCTTAGGTGTTACACCGCCCACTGTTGGAGCTAGCCAGTCTGCAGGGTCAGTTACATCAACGTACATCGTAGGAGAAGGTAAACTGAAATAATTACCCATATGTTATGATACATGTCCATGACAATTAGTTTCACAATCGGGTCAAAGATGGTTGACTGCCTGCAATCTTGCTTTTTGACCATACTACTATATCTCTGAACATGAACCCAGACAAAAGAAATTCAGTTTGGATACAAAAAATGCATATCATATCCTGTTTAATTTCTGATCATATATTTCGATTTTGGAAGAGTAATTTTTTTAATACATCTTGCTGTTGATACTAGACCAGCCATTTACTTACTCTCAATTACTAACTATGTTTTTGTTCCGTAACTTTTTTGGCATGAATAACATTTCCCGTAACTGCAACAGGGACATTTCATTAACAATGACTTGATAATCCAGTATGAAATTTTGGCTATGCTGTGCACAATTTGGCACATGCCGACTCGCCCAGATCTCTAACATGAACGCCACTCAACAAATAATTCAACAAATGTTAAGGAGAACACCATTGTTTCAGACCTTGTAGTTTTGACACAGGCAAATGAAGCAGAATAGATTGATAAAAATCCTATAAAAAACATAAATTACAGGCACAATTTCATGTTTACATGCTGAAGGGGGATATTTAACATTTATTGATAAGTGGCTTCAACAAGTTCCTGTTCTATATTTGCTGGGAAAGGATTGACCAGCTTTGTTATTACCGGTAGTCCAAGAAAATTGTTCAGCTTGGAATGTGTCTGAACCCCTCATTAGTATGCAAGAATGTAGGAATGTACCAAGAAAATTGTTTTTCTGGAGTAAATTGTAGTGTATTTTACTTATGAAAGGTCAAAAAGTGCATGGAGATTTTATGAAAATGTGTGGATGTTAACAGAATGATGTCGTTTGGTCACAGTTGCGCAATAAATGATGGACTATTTTGGGCGTAGCTATAAAATGTGTCACCGAACTACTCACACGTGTGCAGGATTCCAATAGTTTGTGGTGTGAAGAAACGCCATTAGAAAATAAATATTGTGTAATTTGTAGTGAGAATGTATTCAAATAGATTTATATTTATGAATCTTGTATAAAAATTGTTTATGAAAATGTTTTTTATTAAACAACAGTTTTATCAAAACATGTACAAAATTAAACACCATCAATGATTTCACCACAATTATGGAATTTATACTTGTTTAGATCATTTTCCCTAAATATTTCAACTTTTTATAATTTCAAATGAGGCCCTACTCGTAACGATTGATGACACACAGCCCAATAAAACAAGCCTGCTTTGACAGAGCTTTCTCTGTGTTTACAGTCATTTGCATGTGTTATGTGATTTACACTCTGCAAAGTAAACTGTGAATATACCGACATGTGGATATGTGTAAATCACAAATCTAGACTGGATTGACCCGAACTAGTTTTACTGTGTTTTCTTTCTGAACCTGCGTGATCCAAACATATTTGGGCAAAAAACAATCACAAATGTTAAACAGCTTAGCTTAGATTAGTTTCTATGGAAACAAATACAGCAAAAGATAGCTTGAATTTTTTCAGATCATTTGGGAAATTTGTATTATTTAACTATTTAACTATTAAACTATTACTTCTTTTAATGAAAGTCAATGTACATCAGCAAAGTGTTCTTAGATGTGTTATTAATTATATTAAGGACGACGTCAAAAGATCGATGTCGGATAAAAAACTTATTTCCTTTAGTTTGGGGGTGTGGGGTTTTGACCTCATAAAGTTTCCATCCCACAAAAACGATTTTATTTTTTAATGAAGTCAAAAAAATCTTGGAGTATTTGTAGTTCGTTTTTTTCTATCCAATCATGGACAGAAATAACCAAAAAGGGAAAAAAACAGAAAAATGGTTTGGTTCGAGTGTAAATCTGTGCGTCAAATGAGGTGCATTTGTAAAATCTTTTTACACCCACCCGACAACCAACTGCTATGCAATACTACTGTCCAATTATCAAATTGTATTTAATTGTGAATGTAGTCTGACGCCATGACCAATACTTATCAATTAAGTTTCAGTGGGGGGTTTGGAAAAAAACTAAAGGAATTAAGTTTTTTATCCGACATCGATCTTTTGACGTCGTCCCTTATTCGTATCAGTTGTTTTGTTATATCATAATTTATTAAACCAAGCTATTAATAATGAATTCCAAAAAAAAGAAATTATCATGCAAATCCAATCTTTCTGATTATACCTTTTTGTATTCATTTGTTGTTATTGCGATTCAGGAAATGTAAAAGTTTATTTCTTGTTTTCCTGCTTTTTCATAAAGCCCCAAAATAACATATTGGTCCCAAATTGTCAAAGTCATGTATAGATTAGGTTCTGTCTGTCCATTGCATTTTCTTGAACGTTACTGGTTGATTTTTTTCTAAACTCGGTATGTATTTCATTATATGAGGCTCTAGCTTTTCATTTGAATGATTCCATTCAAAATGGCTGACTGGTGGCCATATTTGACACCACAATAGCCTAACGTACATTTTATACATGTAGAGATTATCTGAATGTTGCCCTAGCCAATTTTGTTCAAACTTAGAATATTTGTACCACCTGGTTGACTTTTTCTTAACTGGGTTCTAGCACATCAATAAAAGTTGATCTGTGTTACAATCGGTTCTAAGATGGCAGACTGTCAGCCATTTTGTTTTACATTATGACAATATAGACATTAGATATTGTCTTTGAGTCCATATAATTTAGAGTTCCTAGTGTAGAACTGGTACACATACACATACTTGCCATATTTGACACCACAATAGTCTAACCTACATTTTATACATGTAGAGATTATCTGAATGTTGCCCTAGCCAATTTTGTTCAAACTTAGAATATTCGTAACATCTGGTTGATTTTTTCTTAACTGGGTTCTAGCACATCAATAAAAGTTGATCTGTGTTACAATTGGTTCTAAGATGGCAGACTGTCAGCCATTTTGTTTTACATTATGACAACATAGACATTAGATATTGTCTTTGAGTCCAAAACATTTAGAGTTCCTAGTGTAGACATACACATACACATACTTGTATAAATTTGTCATGTGTTAATACATACCTGCATTACTTGTTAGAAGCTCCACAGAATACCAAAATCATGTTGAAATAAAAAGAGTGTTACAAAGGGTGACATTCTGAGTGACTTTTCTATTTTAGTTAAATTTTTTAAACTACGTTATGGTCGCAATAATAATATTAATAATAATAATAACTTTATTACACTATCGAACCATCAGCGGGTTCAGTATGGTAAATAAAAAGTATTACAAGACTAGGACAATTCTAAATACAATACAATAATAGAAAATAAGAATAAAATAAAGTTAAAAAATGTTAAAAAACAATTACTACAAACAGCGTCCGGATTACTTTCGGAAA